ACCACTGCTGACCAAATTGCAATTTACATCAGTAGAGAAAAACTTTTGAAATGGGAAGTTGTGGGAATATAATACCATTTTTGGCACAACACAGCATGCAGGGTGATATGTGGTTTAATGGTTTTCTAACAAGCTTTTGGAAAAAGCTTTGAAACGTTAAAAAAAAAATAACAATAAGACAGTAAGATTTCAAGACCTGCTTAAACAGTGAAATCCATGCTATACGTGCAGGACTTCTGAAGCCTACATGATACTTATGTCTCATTTAAGCCTTATGACATGGATTTAAGAGAGGCCAGACCTTACAGGGTACCCTCCGCCCTCCCCTCTATATTCAGGTGTCTTTCCTCTCATAAAAATTTAAGTCAGGTAAGACCAGTAATGTTGGAAAAACCTTTTTTATTAAAACAAACAACCAAAAAACAAAACCCCCCAACAAAACTCCTCTCCCCTATGTTCAGGTGTCTTTCCTCACATAAAAATTTAAGTCAGGTATGACCAGTAATGTTGGAAAAACCTTTTTTATGAAAACAAACAAACAAACAAAAACCCCCCAACAAAACAAAACAAAGAAACAAAAACCCAAAAAACAAAAATAAACAAAAAAACCCTAAACTGTAGGCACCTGAAATTAGATGGAGAGTTTTTGTTTCTTTAAAAAATGGGTTTACTATGAGTTTTATGAGCTCACCTGTCTTCCAGAGTTAAAGAGGCATATTTTTGCATATGATGAATAAAACAGAATGCATTTTTTCTAGATGGCAAGAGGAGACAAAGAATATCAGAACAGTTAGGGAGAAAACTAATTATGGTTCGCACTGAGAAATTTAGCATACCAGTAGTACCACTGTCTCTTTCAAGAGGAATAGATGCAGTAAGAAAACCCAGCCTATTTCCCAGACTGAACAAGCCCTGCAGATTGCTGAGGTTAACAGTTTCGTACATACTTAATTTCATAGTTATTCTTTGCAAGTCTTACAGGAAGGTTTTAACATTATGCAAAGAGACAGTGCCTCCAACCAAGTGTACATGGACTGTTCTCTCCCGTTGCCTGAGAGAGCCACAAAGAACTAGGGGAAGAAAAATGCTGCTGTGCTTATCATACAAGAGCTCAGTTTATTTGTGCTATAAATAAAAGTAGATCTTGATAGCGTAATTACATTTCTCAGCATTATCCTCTGCCATTCACTTGAGAAAGAAAAAAGAAAGGGGAGAAAAAGTTCGCTTCACTATAATTTGTAATCAAAATGACTACACTTAAAACATAATTTTATTTCCCCGATTTCATTTCCTGTGGAGCTTTGTGGGGCAAATAGATAATATTATACAAAATCTGCAGGCAGATATAATTCTCCCATACGTTGCTCTGTCATTGTCTAGATCATTTTACCCCCCTGGCTTTCCTCAGGACCATGGCCTGTGGTTTGATATTGCATCTTATCATTGTGGGATATATCAGCACCAGAAATCCCAGGGGTGAGCCAACTTTTACTTTCTCTAATTTCTTTCTTCTGCTCCCCCAAATTACTCCCCCTTGCCTTAATTTGCTTTTTATAATGTGAGTTTAAAAAAAAAAAAAAAAAAGGTGGTTTCCCACTATGAAGGATTAGCACAGATTATGGTGAACAGTGTTAATTATAGGTGAGGAAAAAGAATAGTGCATCTCTCCAATCTGTTCTTGATTTCCCCCGTGTCTGTCTGTCTGGTAATAAGCCTCCTTTAATCTGGCAGTCCCCTTGGTGAAATCAGCGCCATGGACAGCAATATTGATTGCTTCTGAGAAACCATCACAGCTGCTCAACCAAATTACCTTTGATATGTGACCTTTAATGTAATTACTGCAACATCAAAGCATTTCTATAAATTATTAAAGAACTAATATACTTCATCATCCAGCCACTCTATTATATGTAAAATAAACAATCACAAGTAAACACTAGAATTTGAATTGTCCGACAATCACAAAGTGCTCTTTACACACTGTGCCACATTAACCTTCCATTTTAGGCAAAACAATTTCAAACTCTCCAAATGAGCCTAATTTACTCATTCAGATGAAGAAGATTCAAATGATAGTCTTCTGTTTTACATTCCAATCCAGTTGCTTCAAAATATGTATCATGTTTCCTTCCCACCCAAAAACAAAGTGCCATAAAGACTTTATTAATCAACACATACCTGCTTGGAAGTCTTTTGATTATTCCACAAGATGAGTTTATGTCCTACATATAACATAGAAATATGTGAAACATATTTCTGTCATTGTACAAAGCACATCCAGAAAGTAATTACTGTAAAATATGTGCATGTAGCCACTCCACTAAAAACAAAGTGATACATAGCTAAGAGGCAAGGCATCTGAATCTGGACAAAACCTCCTCATGCCTCACGATTTCCATACATTACCATTCATGTGCATATTATTAAAAATTACGCAGTTCTGTGTTTTACAATGCAAAGAATACAAGCAGCAATATTGCAAGAGCAGGAAAGTGTGCAGTTTACTGTGGAATGGGAAAGAATGGCTTAGTCTAGTACTATTTATTTTTCCTATACCATGCCTGTTAATTGTTTTTGATGACTCCTCGGTCGAGCTGTTTATGTCACAGACAGTGGAGTGTCAAGAGAAGATGTTATATGCATCTCATTTTGAACTTATGTGAATAAGGACTTAGACCCCTGACCCTAAAAGTGCCTCTTATTTTATGGTGATGAACTATGGTTGATATTTTTGGTGCATGTTATCAAGAACAGTCAGGTAAGTCATAAATAATTCTCTGCTACTCAGATAGGAACCATAAAACAGTATCCAGGCATGATACTTTATCAAGAGACAAGACTGGTTTCCTTAAATAAACTACAGTGACATCATTCAGAGGATGAGTTCAGAAACTTGGCAGAAAGCTGCATGAAGAGGGTTTGCTGGAAACCCTGGTGGAAAGCAAACCTTTATCCTGAGACAAATAGAACTGGAAATGAAAGGGATGGGAAAATCAGTGTTCAGAACTCTAAGAAACCTGGTTGCTCTTTTAGGCAGAGGATTCACTGCTCTCAGCTCAATGAGATCCTGATGTGTCTCCTGAAAGTGTGCAAGGAAATTAAAAAAAAAAATGCCTCCTAGAGGCAGTGTGACCAGTATGGAATATATGTAAGAGAAATTGCACAAACCAAGGAAGAAATTGTTTTCCTGTAGTCTAGAATTAGTTGGTGCAGACTTTGAAGTAAGTCTCAATCCTAATGCAAAAGCTGGTTGAATTCTACCACTGTCCAAGAAAACAGTTTTGACTTTAAGACTTTTATGATTTGAAGTCTCTAACACAGAGATTGAGAATCAGAATGGTGAACATATAAGGAACTTAGGAAAAAAAAAATTCTAAATCATCACTTGCCCTCCCTCTCCAACACCTGAGTCCTCAATCTCACTGACCCACTGTGTTCTTGAAGATATTATCATCATACAATTTCAGGATAAGGTTTTAAACTCATAGAGAAGATAGATATCCATTTACAAGTGGATGACCTCCTCCCAATAAGAAGTGCAAGGAGTCTCAGTGGAAAATCTGAAATTTCAATTATTCTTTTTTAAATACACAACACTCTATTCATCACATCTCTAGTATAGATAAATATGTATTTTATTTCAAGCATATTTCAGAAAATTTCAGTTAAAATGTTACCTGAAACATCCCTATTCAACATATTCTCTCTCTTTTTTTTTTCCTATCCAGTTTTATCATTCAGGAAAGAGAGAAGCAAAAAGAAAATATTGGAAGGGGGAGGAGGAAGAAAAACTGAGATCCCCTCCCAAGACTGAAGTTACTTTCAATCTGCTGCTAAGGAGTTTCTAGAAAAAAAAAATCAGAGGGAGTTGTCAGCTGACAGAAATATTTTTAGGCAATGAAGTATGTATATATTTGCATAAGGTATGGCCTTTTAAGCAAAGATAGATGTAGATGAACAAGTGCGTGGGCATCTCCATACTGGCAAGGTGGTTTAGAGATAGGTAAATAGACCCAGGATGATGGAAACAAGCAGAGCAGAGTCAACACTTTCCTCAGAACACAGAGCAAGGGATGTGTCTTAGGTCTGGTGGAAAGGTAGGTTATAGCTACACAGCAATCAGTCATTCAGCACCAGCTAATAAAGACAGACTTTTGGATAGATTTCCTCTCAGTTTAGATGCAGCCTGGAGCCCTCAGAAGCCCACTCTTAGTTATGTAGTCACTGGCTCCTGGTTTTTGTGAAACCAGCTTCATTCCAGCTGCGGGAGCACTTGGCTGCTCCCAATCCACGCACTCTGGCTGAATCTAAATAGTCTCTCCCTCCCCCGGGTAACCACTTAACTAGAAACCCATCCCAGCAGGGCAGGTCTTCCCCACATAATGCTGATTCTATTTTTAGTTCTGCTTGTGTTGTCTGAACCTTAGATCTTGCTCATGTGAATAATTTTCCTCATTATCTCGTGTGCGTCTTTCCTCTCTCTCTCTTTTCTCCTTGTCTCACCGCCTTTCCAATCTGCTACAGCTGCTTGAATACTAAAGTAACTGAGTCAAACCACTTTGTCATCAGGAATATGTTTTCATTCCGTGATAACTCAATAATGTGATCTGTTTCTTGATTTCTTGCTGCCAAACCTTGCTTCAGAGAAGAGAAGTAGTGAGAGGAAGCGCCTGGTGAGGACCACTAACATTCTGCAGTGGTCAGAATCCTAAAGCAGCTCCTCAGCTGAGTTAGGCTGGCAGAATCCAGTCCATAACCAGTTGATTTCTGTTTTCCTGACTCCCAGTAAGGGCAAAAAGCTTTTAGTTTTGTGCATGGGAACCATTTGGGTGGGTTGGTGGTATCTTGGTTTTATTAACACAATGCAAATAGTGAATCATACAAACAAACGGAGACTTTCTGCTTCCAAATCTGAGAGGAGAACACCATGTAACCCATTTTTTAGATTTAAAAGAAAAGAGAAAAAAAAAAAAAAGGAAATGTTATCAGTCTGGACTCACCCCCGGCAGTGTCTTCTGTTCATGCAGTGCGCTCTGGGCCTTTAGAGCAGACTCCCTTTCGCAGTATGTTAGGAAGGCACAGCCTGCAAAGAACAAGAAAAACCTCTGTAAGAGCACTATTTCGGAGAAGATCCTTCTGAAATTGAGACATAGAGCAAACCACTTTCCTGTCATCATCCCATTCCCAGTAAATCAATCATAAAATTCTCTCCTTAGTGTGTCAGTAGTAAAAGTCAAGAAACGAAGCTATCATAGCTTCCTCTGAACCCTGGTGGACAGTGAGCAACAGTGTACCTGTGAGTGCTTATTTTTCCTTCAAGACATGCTTATGTTTCAGCTACAGAAGGCTGCACAATTTTAGGCTGCACAGGATTAGGGATCTCAAAGGTTCCACAGGATGGCAAGGTGGAGCATGGGATCCCACTCCTGCTCCAGCAGCAGCACTGGGAAACAATCCCCTTGCTGCCACAATGCTGAAAGGTCTCACGCCTTTCTTTCCTGCCAGGTGCTTTAAGCAAAGGACATGCAAGGACTTGGAGCTTCCTACTGCAGAGGAAAATTTCTGTTGTTTAGCCTGACCTGCACCAAAAACTCATTGCTCTTTTTGCATCACACCAGAAATCCACCTCCCTGCACTGGCTGCCGCAAGGACTCACTGGCTTCCAGTTGTAAACACAACCATGCCAGAGCCCAAGCAGTCACTACAAAACATCCCTGACCCACAGATCACTTGAACTTCAGAGATACACTGATGGGTTACATCTTTGATTTTTCCAAAGATTAACTTATCAACTACAAAGCCTAAAGCCCTGTCAAAGCAGAGCCCTGCTGTGTTTTCCTTCCCCACCTCTATGCTTCCCTTCTGGTAAAAATGTTGCAATATCTTACTCCATTTGTGTGTCTGATGTGATCAAATTATTTCTTCTTACTGCAGTATACTGAAAACCTGCCAGTTCCTGCAGCAAAAAATATGCTTGTTATGCAGAAGACATTTTCTCTGAAATTACTACAGAATGTCTCCAGCTCCTTGAAATGGAGGTATCACAACTTTCAAGGTTCAGGCAGCATGTCCCTCAAACTGAGAATGTTCTTCTAGAGGAACACAAGTATGGAGAGACTACCAAAGAAACAAACAGGTCCCACAACTTCATTTTCACCCACCCCCCTTCTCCCCAAGAATGTATAAAGTACGTAACAGGTGAGTAAACAGTAGACTGTAAACTTCTTTTCAGCTTTGAGTGCCACTTTGAGCATTTTGTCCATGCAATGCTCACTTTTTTCCAATTTTTTTCCTTAGAGAGTATCACTGAAGAAACACACACTTTTACATGCTTTTAATGGATAAGTACATTAAAGAAAATAAGATCTTTTTTCTATAAATTTACATTTTTTTATTAGAGATTGTCCTGTGGAAGTCACTGTACTCCTCTCGCAATGAAGCTATAATATGGCATGAAAAAGAAGAAAAGGAACTATTTTTTCACTATTTCTTATCCTGTATTAGTTTCTGGGGGTCTTCTTACTTTCTGTTTGTTCAAAGCAATCACATTCATTATGTCTCAATAACTGAGATTCAGATGCAGAAGGTAACAGTCAAAAAAGGAGACTGAACATCATCAAAAGTTTGCATACTTGGAATTATTTTGATTTGTTCCCCTCTCTAACTTTAAATGGGTGAGATTTCAGTCTGTATCCACCAAAGAAGAGGAAGAAACTGTGGCAAAGTGTTTACAGCTAGCAGAAATAATGGATTGGAAAGGATCCTTAAAAGTCACCCATAGCCTGATAATCAAATGGGAAACTATGCTTACATTTAATTTCAGTGCTAAATCACAGGCTGAGAGCTCTCTGTTTACTAGATACAATAAGAAAGTCTCCCTTTAGCAGCAGAGCAGCTGATACAGTCTAATTAGGCACATCATAGCACACTGTTATAGAGATAAACTATGCAGTGTAAAGCTCTCATAATGATAGCTATATTTTTCTCCTCATTGTGATTGCCACGATGACAGTTCAGGGTAACAATGTCCTACTCCTATAGTACCACGACTGTAATTCAAGATGAGTAAGCCAGAGACAGCTCTTCTATCAAAGTGGGCATTTTCCACCCAAAATCCACCCTCTGTGTGTGCGTGGACGCAAGTTCACACCAGGGAGAAACCTCCACTAAGTTCTCCCCAAAGCTGTTTCAAAAGTGGTAAAAATACCAAACTTCCCAAATCAGTACTCAGAATGCATCCAATCATCACTGATATAACAAACACACTGCTATGAACTAAAAGACTTTGAAATTGAAAAGAAATCTACACTCTCATATGATCAGATAAAAAAACCCTCCTGTTTTCCAGAGACAGAATGTATCCTCTGTGGAAGTGCTTCTTTTTCCCTTTTCATTCATATATCATGCACATGAATTACAATCTATCCCACACATGTTGGGTAAAAGTAATATGTCTATGAAAAATAATATCTTGTTTATTTAAAGTAAGGCTTGGTTTCTTAGAGACCATAAGAAGTTCCATCCCAGCAGTGGCCAAATGAAATAGAGATTAATGTTCGTAGCAGGCCCCAAACCTGAACTTGAAAAGGACAGCTCATGGGGAATTTTTGTCTTCCCTTTCCTTACCACAAGATTGCTCTGTAAGGCACATATGCAGCATTAGCCATCAGCTAAAATAATGAATTTTTTCAAAAACACGAGAACTTTTATAAAACAATATTTACCTATTACTCCATCCTGCAAGAATTTCTTGTGCATTAGGATGAAAGGAAATGCCCTTTCTTGCACCATCCTGCCTGCCTCCCCGAAACCAAAATTGATTTCTGCTTTGTACTATGATGTTTACAGGAATGAGAACCTCTTTCAGGTGTTACTTTTCCTAGGCTACCACTTTCAGTGTTCCTCCATATGATCCCTCCAAAGGGCTCTTCCTTCCTGGAGAATGTTGCTTAGAAAATACAACACTAGACACTCAGATTAACACTATGGAATACAGCATCCTAAACAACTGAGTCTTGAAATATTTTCATATGTAGCAGCTATGTTGTTTTTTATTTTTTTTCCAGAGAAAAGAAAATGGGGAAAAAAAAAGGTGGGTTTTTTTTTAATATGATATTTTTTCTTCTTTTCACCTTTTGATTTCCCAGATGGAACAAAATTTTAGAACAATCAATTTTCCCTGCTGAACCTCATGATTGTGTACAGAATCACTTATTTCACTGGGAAAAAAAAAAAGATTTTTCATAGTAGACTCCTAAGTAGCTCAGCTTAACTGCTCACTTGCCATCAGCAGTTTGGTCTGGGTGTGAACATGACTTCTGGGTGGAAGGCTTCATATTCTATTACAAAACATTTGCACCATCCATCCCCTTTGAATTGCCCATGTTCAGCAGTATAATGAACATTTCTCAACATATCTCTTAAGTAAAGGTGGTGTGAAAGCAATGCATTATTTCTATCCTCCACTTATATGGGAGGTAATGACTCAGTCAGTGCAGTGTTTGTGAATTATATCAGAATTTGAACAAAAAAATTTAATTGACTATTTGACAATGAAGGGCTTGGCCCAAACTGCTTCTAATTTCTATTCTATTTTTTTCATGCATTCCAGACATATGTCAATCAGCTAAAAAAGGCTGTGTTTGCATTGTGTATTTCCAGCTGTTCATTTGCTACCAGCAAACAGGTTTTTGGGCAAGCACATAAACATCTGGAAAATCCCACCTGCCTGTTAACCTATTGAACTCCAGTCTCTTGGAAGCATGAGGACATATCAAGCTGTCTCCTGGGAAACAGGATTGTTAAAGACATGGTGGGAAACAAAAACAAAAGCTTGAGATGGAAAAGAAATTACAAAGGCTCTACTTTAATTTTATCTCCAGAGAATTCAATAGTGCAAATAATAATTGTATGAGATACAGATGGAAAATGATTGTGGTTATGGCAACTTCAACTTCATAGCAAGTCTTCAGAAGATTCTGCACAAGCCTTGGAGGCAAAACTGTCAGGAGACACACTGTGAACTGAACAAAATAATACTGAAAACTGAAAGCCAGTCTCACAGCCTGAGCTGAAGAAGGCAAATGCAGAACCTGGGAGAATGGACAACATCCCACTTTAGCAGATCAGGTCTGAGACCATCTAAGGAACCTCAAAATGCACAGGTCCATGGAATCTGATGAGATGAATCCATGGGTCCAGAGGGAACTGGCAGGTGAAGTGGTTAAGCCCCTGTCCCTCACATTTGGAAGACCAGCAAGGTACCCACTAATTGGAAAAGAGGAAAAAATCCCTATTTTCAAAAGAGAAACTAGAAAGAGCCAGACAACTACAAGCCCCTTTGGGTAAGATCATGGAGCAGAGCCTTCTGAACAAGAAGCTACATGGAACATAAGGATGTGACAGTCAAAATGGCTTCCCAAATGGCAAATTGTGCCTGGCAAACTCGTGGGCCTTCTACAACCGGATTGTAACACTGGTGGAAAAGGGGAAAGCAACTGGCACCATCTACCTGGATTTGTGAAAAGCATTTGACACTGTCTCAGAAAACATCCTTGTCTCTAAAATAGAGAAAAATCTATTTCAGGGATGGGCTAGTGGAATTGGCTGGATAGTCACACTCAAAGGGTTGCTGCCAATGGCTCGATGTCCAAGTGGAGAACAATGACAAATAGTGCTTGTTTCTCAGGATTTGGTTTTTGAACTCGTGCTGCTATATATCTGCTGGCAGCATGGACACTGGGTTTCAGTGTACCTTCAATAGGTTTACCTTGAAACAGGAGCTTGTTTTGTGGAGCAGTCCATCCTCTGGAGGGAAGGAATGCCATCCAGAGGGATCTTGACAGTCTTGGAAAGGGGTCCCATGCAAACTTTGTGAAGTTCAACAACACCAAATGCCAAGTCTTTTACCCATTTTGGGACAAACTCAAGCACAAATACAGACCTGACAGAGAATGCGTTGACATAAGCTCTGCCAAGAAGGACTGGGGAATGTTGGTTGATCTCAGCATTGCACACTGACAGTCCAGAAAGACAACCATGTCCTGGGCTGCAGCAAAAGAACTGTGTCCATCAAGTTGAGGG